GTATTTACCTTTCTTATAGTGGTCTATTCAAGAGATCTGGACTTACTCACTTTTTTACATAGTACTATCAATTATTGTTTTCTGATTGTTGTGTCTGTAGCACAGTGTTTTGCTTTTGTTAATTGTTTTAATAATACAGTTGTGGCACTCGTCATACATTGAGTTTTCACTTAAACTGATTTGGCGTGCGCTTTATAACCGCAAGGAAAAGGCGCAACGCAATATAAATGCCCATACTACCAGTACCACTAATTAGAACTTTTTGAATATCTCTATTTACAGATTTAAAGATTCCTTCTATTTACAGACCAATGGCCGTTGTTTTGGTGACTCAACTGAAAACTCTTCCCTTCAAATAAAGACCACTATGAAAAAAAACTCTGCATTAAACTTGACACTAAATGTGGTCTTAAAATTTTTCTATTTAGAGGAAAATAAAAATTTAATACGGTAAATGTTTCAAAATGATGTACTATTACTGCACATTATCGGTATTCAATATACACAAAACACATACACAAAACCGTGCACTGTCTAATAGTTGAATGTGTCATATATAACACGATTTATTAAAGAAAAAAATACTTTAACATCACTGTTTGTTATAATATAGTGGTCTATAATTGGAGGAAATATTGTCAGTAAGGTCCACCAAAACAATGGTCTTTGGTCTCTAAATAGAGGGAATCTTTAATTGGAGGTAACAGATAATAATAAAAGTTAGGCATTTAATTGGGACCGCTGTGGTTTTTTGAAGGTGGTCTTTAAATGGTGGGGGGGGGGGGGGATTTGGGGGGGGGGGGGGGTATTTACGTGGAGGGAGATCTGTATTACTGTAAGTGATGGTGTATTATTTTAAATTTCGTGGTATTTTTTTACAGGAAAAGACGGTCAATTACATCGGTTTGCTTAGGCCTATTGGCACTGGTTTTATGTTTTTCGCTGTATAACATTTTCGAAAGGTAATAGACAATGTTTTGAGTGAGTATATTGAAAGTCAATTTGTAAACAGTGCTTGTTTTTGGCATTTGTTCTATGTTTTCGCACTATAGGCCAATACCATTTGAAAAGGTAATGAAAATCTTGAATAAGCATAATACATACTCCATGGAAATGCACGCCATCGTGTCAATATTTCGACTTTATTGTCATCATCAAGAATGGAAAATTATCAACTTGCAAGCTTATAATATGCACAAGTACCAAAAGTGTTTAACCAATCAAAACATTACCGCTAGTTGTTGACATAGCTATGAATAAACAATTAAAGCATTCTTGCCCTACTGATCAAAGCTCCTACAAAAACAAAGAAAGCTTCTTTTAAGTTTTAAGCCCATTGTTAAGCAATGGGTGTATCCAAAGCAGTAATGGGTTTTAATATAGGCAAAAGCCTTTTATACCCATTGTCAATGCCTATATTTTATATCCAATTTGGTCGGAGGATGATTTCCTAACGTAGTCCAACAGACATGAAGATGCTTTTCAAAAGAGTGGATCCACCACATGTACTGGTAATTTATTCCAAGTGTCTATAATTTGCTGGGAATAGAAGTGTTTCCTAGTGTTGAAATTCTTGTGAAGGCATTTTTTTTGTTAAAAAAAAAAAATAAAGTTTGAATATATGTTACGCGATCTTTCTTCCTGCGCGCGCCAACACAAAGAGTTGTTTGTAATTCTGTTCTATTTCCTCTATGATCACTAATGTTGTCACATCCTAAATTGTAATTTGTAGACGGGTATCCATATCCCATGTGCATACATTTACATTTATGAGAATTAAACCGGAGTAGCCATTTATCTGACAACCAAATGATTTGATTGATCATCGATATCCACTGGACCAGCTAATTTAATGTCATCAGCTAACATTTGTGTGGTGGTAGAATTTTTATTATCAGGAAGATCATCAATATAAATTACAAATAAGGTTGGTCCTAGGTCCGAGCCCTATGGGACTCCACTACACACATCTGCCCATTCAGAATCCTCTCCTCTGGACAACAGGAGACCAGTTTTGCAAACTATCAATAATGTTAAAAAATAAATTAGGAAAATATTCAACCTAATTTATTACTTATATTCTCGGCTTATATTACAGGCCACTATTTTCAAGTATACCCTGTAAACCTAAAACATTATAGGCCTATTGGAATGCCTCACAATTTTGTCTATTATTATTATTTTTATTATTATTATTATTATTATTATCATTATTATTATTATTACTATTTATATTTTTTTATATTATCATTATTATTAATTATTATTATTAATATTACTATAATAATTATTATTATTTATAATTTTTTATATTATTATTATTATTATTATTATTATTATTTATTAATTAATTAATTAATTTATTTATTCATTCAAAATATACTCCTACCAAGGGGAAGAGAAATACAAAAGTACCGGTACATAAAAATACATTAAAAGTTATATATAACCCATTATCCATTGAGAATATTTGGCAATCATTAACAAACTACTTTTAATATTCAATAGGCTTATGTTCGATCCTTTCGGAAATTAGGTTTTGTTTGTGATTACATACTGAAACCGAATGAAAACAGAACGACATCCCCAGCTAATCAGGAAAAATGGTTTCAGTTAGTTCTTCATCTAATCAAGCGGCAAGCAACCGATTGACATTTGCGTTTAGGCCTATATAGATAAATTGAAGTCCGTTAGTGAGACGCTACATTCTCCCTGAGGGCAACAACGCACATCCGTTGATGAGAACGCCGTACTTTGCAAACTGAATGTGTTATCACATAGATTATTAGAATAATCATAAATGCAGTTAATACCACTAATTATGCTGTGGCAATTTGCAGTTCTGTAACTATCAGTCGTAAAGTAAATATCGACCTGTAGTGAGTTTGATATAGACTTTCCGCTAAACCCCGTCCGTTCGATATTGTTTCAGAGGCTACGTTCAGACTTGGAGATAAGCCAGGCTTGAGTTAAGCCCGGTTCAACGTTAAGCCCGGCTTAACTTTGCCGGGCGTTCAGACTAGCGGGTTTAGCCAGGCGAGAATTTGCATAATAATGAACCGTAACCAGGAAACGTGTTTCAAAACATTGCTCGCGAAACGTACGATCGCTCACAGCGTACGTAATTCAATGCTTATTGGTTATTTCGTCACCCGAAGTCAATGGCCTAGTTCAGACTAGGTGGATAAACCCGGCTCAACTCACCGGGTTTATCCACCTGCCAGTCTGAACTAGGCGGCTTATCTCAAGCCGGGCTGTTCCTATAGTAACTAGGCCTGGCGCGCCACCGTGTTTAATTCTAAGCCGGGCTTTAATCGTTGCGGAGGTCTTGCATTGACTTGACTTGAAACTATAAGCTTTCGAGTGGAGGGTTACCCAAAAGTAGGCCTAAAACATGAATTTACTGTCAATGAGTTCTCCTTACGATGTACTGAAACACTCGGTTAATAAAAATCAAAGAGCAGTTGCGTCTATAAATAATTTGATCCGAAAAAATTATATATGTGTAAATCATGGAATCTGTGAAAGTGTAAAGATTATTAATAATAGGCCTAATAATATGTGTGTATGTAGCACATATTCAAAAAATTGAATACAAGGCCCACATGGCCCAACATTTAACACATGCCTGGAACGCATGAGTAAGTAACACACCAGGTATACCATCACCAAACCTTACATTATTTTTATTTGTTTGTTTATTTTCTGTTCTACTTAATATTATTATTATTATTATTATTTTTAATAATATTGATAATTAATTATAAACTTGACAAGATCATTCTAATTAGGCTAATCATTATTTTAGTCCTGCTTTTAACTATGAGCTTTGTATTTTTGTATTTCTCTTCTCCATGTGACAGTGCAATGTTTTCCTGAAAAAATTAAAAATTTCAAAACCTCTCCCGTATTATTAGGATGTATTTATACAGACGTTAATAAATAATGTCGACAATTATAACAATCACTTTTGAAAATTTCAATACCTTGCCTCATTTGGGCATGTTCTCAATTGAAATTATACTACATTGTATTTACTCCACAGACATACGCAGAAAACAGAGTCGCCAATACAAGCATTTCGACGGCAGAAAATAAACAAACTTTTGGATATTGTGCGTGAAATGCATCGCCAAGTGTTTTCAAACGACTTTATGGCAAATTATAAAGAATATATTATCAGAAATGCATCACAAATAAACGCTTTGAAAAATAATAAAAACGCATCGCAACGCGTCGTCTCTAAAAATAGTGAAGAATACGATCACAACAACGAAAAAAAAAATTCAAGTTTCAAATACTTACGGCTAGAGTGTTGGAGTTTTGATAATGATTTGCTGAATACCCTTAAAAAAAAACAAGATGTAAATAAAATAGAAAAAACAGAAACAATTGAATTATTCTATCGTAATCAGATTAAGAACAGAACAAATATACGAAACGCCATTCCAGATAACTTGCGTTGGCAGCCTAAGGAAGATATATCGAAGAAAATGCTAAAACCAAACGAATTCTACGGACGTGATATTTCGTACTCCAAAGTAGTAAGTTGTTTTAGTATTATGCGTAGGATTTTTTGAAGGATGGTGATTTTTTAACAGTTTTGTAGACTGATATTTTCTGAATTTGATTTCGCTTGCGATCATTGAGTCAGACACACTAGGGCCCATATAATCTTCATAAATTTATTTTATAATATCGGTTGATTAATTCAAGCAGATTATAACACAATGTATTTATTTTCAAGATAACTTAATTGGTTATATATTCTACATTGTAAAATGGAAATTCGTTTTTATGTTTTGATTGACAAATTACACTCTTTTTTTTGTTTATTAGTGTAAATTATCTGAATCAGAAACTTCAATTCCAACCACAATGCTGTACCTGTCATTAATAATTATAATAATGATAATATATAATTAATTATGCTACAATATGTATTATGATGATGATGATGAAGAATGATGATGAGGATGATGGTGGTGGTGATGATGATGACGATGATAACAATAGTCTAAGTCTAAAGCCGAGCACACTTCACTACTGTGGTCGGCCGACGCGATTTCAGAGTTTTAATGACAATCGTCTCAGTCGGCCACCGACAATCAGCATGCTTCGTATCGTCGTCAAGTGCTCACAAAGAGCGGAGATTGATTCGTCGGCAAATGTCATAATCGTTCTACGAGGCAATGTGGGCCTGGATCGATTAAAAGTCGGACATACTGCGCGAACAGTCACATCGGCCGACGTGATTTCGTGAAAGGCGCACGCAACACATATGTTTTAATGACAATCCGCTCACGCTATGCATCGACAATAAAGACGATGTCGCGTCGTCAAGCGCTCACGCCTGTCTTTAATTATATAAATATGCATTTCATTATTATATAACGGTAGCCAGCGATAATTTTTTTTCTGCTTCTTTTATATTTTGCTTCAGGATTGCAATACTTCTTTAAGAAACACTTTGAAACTCAGCACAGTCTTCCAGGATCGTTATATAGCTGACGTTCCAATTCTTATTTATCATTCCATGTTCAGCCCGCGGGAATACTACCAAAGGAGAGAATATCAACCACCTTTCGGTTGGAAAAATGCTAGTTACGAAGGTAAAGTTCGTCGCTTTTACTGGAATATAGAGTCTCCTGCTTGGTTAATTTTATTGGCGATTCTTAATGATCTTAAGCAAAATACATCATTAGGCTATTTTAGACTGACATCCTGTCACAGATCTATTTTTATTCACGGACCAAATATCTGGAATGAGCTATATGATAGCCTTTTAAAAATAAATTCGCAAAATTCGATCAAAAATAAATTGAAAGAGATGATATTAGATACTTATTAAGGAAAACTTTTCTTGCTTTGCTCTTTTTTTAAATTTCTTCATTTTTGGAAGTCGTCCATGATCGCTGGCACTTTCCGGGGCAGTACACTGTCGGAGATGTCTTGGTGTCTGAGGCGCACGGTATTATTACTATGACGTGATGATCACTGAGGCATTTCCCCTTCCGGGAGGTGCCGGCAATTGTGGGCGATCCCAAATTAAAAAAATTAAATGTTGATGTGTTTACTATGTATTCTGTGTGTATGTTTTGTATGTTTGGTATTCAAACTAACAAGCCACCGCTTCTTTTGATGCCTTTGTAAAAAAAATTGCAATTTGTAATTTGTTGTTGAATTTTTCTGAATAAATGTATTTCTGACTTAGATGTTATTACCGCTGGCCATTGGATCGATAATCAAACCAGCACAAAGTGTAACCTCTTCCACTCCCTGGGGAGTATTCTATAGTCGTGCTTGCCAATGTTTGGTCAAAGGTCATGCCTTGCCCAAAGAGACAAGCAAAATTCACAGAGAAGGCTCCATTCGTCTCCGCCCTTAATTTTGAGAGACCGAAATAACGCAAACTGCGTCAACCGCTCCATACACAACCTCATGAGTGATACAAGATCATCGGTTACATTAAAATGTCGCTAGAGAAAAGCCTTTTTTGTGTTGAACGTAATTTAATTTTTATTATAGCCACATAAAAAATGTTAACGTATTTATCATCTTTGTGCTGCAATACTTGTAATTTATTTTATAGGCCTTCAATGATAGTGGTGAAAAATCGAACGAATGTTCGAAGATAACATTTGTTCTCCAGTCTTCATGAATTTTCGAACAGTCGCACAATGATAAGGTTGAACATCAAATTAGGCTAAAATAATATTATAAACGTATTTAGGGCCTACTTTAGGCCTATATGATGTAGAAGCAGTTGTCGCATTGGTTGTGGCTTGGATTCCCAACCTTCAGGTCGGGGGTTCGAAACTTTCGCTCAAATCGGTTGTGTCCTTGGGTCTCTCTCCACCCAGGAATACAAGTGGGTACCTTCTAGGTTCGAACACAATAGCTGCAATATTATGGAATTCTGCCCAGGGAGCTTAGCATATGTTCCATACGTGTTTGATCCAATGACCGGGGTAGTAATGTGAGGCGCTTAGAGGCTTTATGAATGAAGCGCTATATATTATTATTATTAGGCCTATTATTATTATTATTTATTTATTTATTATTATTATTATTATTATTATTATTATTATTATTATTATTATTATTATTATTATTATTATTATTATTAATGTAGGCCTATATAATTTTAACGTTGAAGAATATAAATCTACGAGTGTGATAAAAGGTGATCCAGTGGGGATTTAATAGGCCTATGTATCTACTGCTGTCTAAATATTATATAATATTATTGTTATAATATAGACCTATTATTATTACATCTTTAAAATTCTTATATACGAGTGTATGTAGGCCTATATGTTTTAGATCTTTATCGGACTGTGAAGCTTCTTCGTAGCAAGGCACATCGCAGCCTTTTTGATCACCGGACGGGAGATGGAGGAGGCAAAAGTGATTGCAGACGATGTGCTGTCGTAGGCAAACTTACATCTTTGCTGAAGTCGAGAGCTGGCTCGATGATTGACTCGTATGCTAATGTATTCAGGTAAGCGCGCACACCCCCACCCCCACCCACACCCCAACAAAAAAGCTCCCTCCTTCAGCCCAACCCAATTGGGAATTACGCTCAAGTAGTTAAAAATCATCTCATGTCACCTTATTTTGCGAGCTACCGCCATCACTTAATCATCGACCTCCCTTCACGTTCGCCTCTAATTCACCCCTCCCCCCCCCCCCTTTTAAGACTCGCGACCTACGGGTTCCGGCATAATCGCTTCTGAATGACCATGCGCAGTATATTATGTTTGCATTTAATTCAGTATTCAGGTGCAGGCTAATTTTTTGATATAGATGAAATATAATATAAAGTCAACCTATTTCTCATGAAACATATATTATTGTAACAGGGGAAATGTTGCAGTAACTGAAGGCTTTGAGGAAGACGTCGGGAAAAGAACAACTCATTATTTTTACACTTTCTCGTCACTAATAGAATCCAAGCGAATTTCGGCCAAATACGGTCTCCAGTTTATTGATGCCCTCGCGAAGAAGGTGAGTGGTGTTACGATACCGGTAGGTCCTAGGGAGGCCCATTTATTTGTGTGGGACTAATTAAAGAATTGTGTTTATGTGACGTCATTGATTTGAATTATAGAACCATTCATTGAGCATATTACCATAGTCAACATGATCTGAATTTTCGTTGGCCTACAGTGAAAGAGTGCATAGCCTGGTTGCGATTTTTTGTACCGTACGTGACTTCGAGTCGAATCAGTCCGAGATGGACCGAACGGTGTACCTCCTTGACTACATCAAATACATACTTACATATTTAAATTCAAATATGAGAGAACTTAACAACAAAGAGAGAGAAAAAAAAAAATATGTTTCATAAGGTAACGTTCCTTAATCACAACTAAGGATCCATTGTGATTATCATACGAAGGGACCTTAATTAGACTAGAAAATAATCAAAATAGGCATATATACCGTATGTGATGTGATACAACAGAAATATACATAAATACGGTACAACTGAAACAAAATTAAGATAATGGGGTCGATTAAACATTATACTCTTTAGCATAAGGTCAGTCTCCGCCCTTAAGGTTAAGAGACCGGAACGCAAACTGCGCCAACCGCTCCGCACAACGTCATGTGTGACAGTTCTATGCAAGATCATCTCGGGTACATTAAAATGCCGCTGCAGAAAAACTTTTTATTGTGTCAAATTTAATTTCATTTTTATTATAGATGGATAAAAAAAAATTTCCTTGAATTATCATCTTTGTGCTACGGTACTTGTAATTTATTATGGTGCTTATTTTATAGGCATAGGCCTAATTATCATGTGGGCATCAACGATAATGCTGAAAAATTGAACAAATATTTGAAGATAACGTTTGTTCTCTTGTCTTTATGATTTTTTCTTTATTTCGTATTTATCCTATTATAGATCACAATGATAAAGTTGAACATCAGATTAGGCTAAATAATCTTATGAGACAGTATATATATATATATATATATATAATAGTTGTCGAAATCATCCATCATTCGATAATAGGCATATCCGTTATCACCGATGAAAGTGACTAATTACCTTCTTTATTTATTTATTTATATTTAGAACGTAAAATATATTTCATCAGACACTGACGAATCAACCTATAAGTATTTGCATAGGCTTTTGACGAACCAACATGCATCCCAGCTAGATAATATAGACCCAAGAGGAAGGTAACTATCCCATCAAGTCTATCCTTTTTGAGGCCTTCATGATTGTAGTGGTGGGGCTTTAGAGCAGAAAGGTCCGTTTTATGCCAGTTTGCTACTCACTAATTTAAGTTTTGTGCTTTACCAAAAGTTTATTGTACTGTTTTCAGGCGACCACTTTTACTTCCAAGGAATATGTCAGCTTCATTCAGGCTTCTTCATCCAGATTTGCTGCGGTACGTCACAGACAGGTTAGTAAGAATTTGATGGGGGAAGGAAGGAGCAAGGGGGGACTTTCACAAATGGAGAGCAGCTTAGCTCAGTCGGCTAATCTGGTGGTAGCCGCTGTGTTTGCGCTGAACCGTGGTTCAATTCCCATCGCTGCCTCTCCTTGTGTTTCAGCTAGAGGACTGAAATACAAGTTACTAGCGCACCGTCTTTCGGATGAGACGTTTAAGCCGTTGGTCCCGTGTGCATTATAGCCCATGTACACGTTAAAGAACGCAGTCCACTCTTCGGAAAAGAGTAGGGGATTGTCTCCCGGTGTACTGCCCAATCACCACCAGAAGGACCCCACTGGAAATAAGTCTTCTAGACTTTCGTGGGCTATCCTTGGTGTTTGCACCGAATAAATCCAATCCAATCCAATCCAGAGTCTATACGTCCTCATCCCCACCATGGTTGGGGCTGAGGAAAGAAAAGTAATGATTATGGCATCTCTAGATGGCTGGAAATGGCACTCACAGACCTCAAAATTTCTCCATTTTAAAAACAAATGTTGGGGCCCCGGGCCGACAGGGCTCCCTTTAATCCGGCACGATAAAGTCCTAATATGATGTCCTACAGTCGATGTCAGAGAAATATTATGTTGTTATGTATCAACCAAGCCCTTTTGGATCAGGGTGCTAGATCGAGGACCCTATGGCCCCTCGATGTCGGGGGCCATGCGGACGGCCGCATAGGCGTTACTCCACTGACCATCATTATCAACATCATCGTCGTCGTCTTCATTATCATCACCATCACCATCGTCATCATTATCATTGTCGCCATCAATAGTCGTCCATAGACAATAATAGATTAACAATAATGATTTTTAGCATTTTTACGTTAACAGATTGTTATTCATTTGTTCGGTAGATGGATTAATGTTACAAGTGTTTCTGGTGGTACATTGGATCTAGAGCTAACCATGCTATTTGTGGCACTACATACGTGTGACGAAGTGGCTCTGTTTGGTCTAGGAAGAAGATCGCAGAGAATCAAAAGAAATGCTCCCAGAACAAGGAATTTACGAATTGAAGATAAACAAGATGACGCGAAAACTAAACTTCTTAATCAACTTAATGATAATGGAATAATACACTGGTACAGCTGAAAATCATTAACTATGATACTAAACTTTTGCAGGTTATACGTCAAAATAATGTTTTAAATGAACATACTGTATTTGGATCGGAAAGCCTACCAAAGTGATTAGAATAAGGACATATGGTGGCAGCGTAGTCCGATGTGAAATGCAGCCTAAGCTGTAGTAAGACTAAAAAAAATATTTAAGCATGGGACTTCGGGGTGGTAACGAATAATAGGCCAATGCTACTAAATAGGCCTAAAACAATGATTAGTAATAGTATAATTAATAATTAGTATAACTGCATACATTGTACTAGGGGAAAATGATTATACTTAAGTTAGATTTATTGCATTCAAAAATTTCCTTCGGGCCTTGCAGCCCCAAGGAATTTTTTTCTAGCATTAAATCTAACCTTCGTATAATAAATTGCCGCAGTGTTCTATGCGCATCTATACTAATTGTTTATTAATGTTATTTCATCTTTCATCTCAGCACCTTACTTTCCACGATTAAACATTCGCGCTCTTTAACAACTAAATTTCATGACGCAAACATCGAAATGACAATCAAGAAATAACAAGAAACAACCACAAACGTCTATTAAATGGTTTACTTACAAGAATGTTTCCATGCTCATACATCACAGAAACCAGATGAAATTATGAGCTTAACAATCAAGAAGTCTAAGCAAAATTGGTCCAAACTTAATGGACAATTGTAAACGACGTACGCATGAGCGCATAGTCTCAGTAATAGGAAGATGTGTATAAGAGACAGTATATATATATATTTATAATAGTTAGA